GATGTCCACACGGGGCAGTGTGGTTGGTGTGCAGCAATGCCTCAGGACGTAGACAGGTAACCTTCATCATAAGTAGCATGTAGGCCACAGTGGATGGGAGAGCCTCCTCTCAATATGACTGGAGATCTTCAGCCAAGACTGGTGATGGGAGTGTTCATGGGACTGTTGACAGGAGTCTGCAGGGGATGGCTTCTCTGCAGTTTCCTGATCCGGCTGATGGAGGTGGGGCAGGCTGCTCAGGTATCTTGATGTTGGCCTGGCATAACAACCAGTCCCAGTCTGCTCTTCTCAGTTCAGACCCCCAGCCCACCTCTTCACCACCGTCTCCTTGCTATCAGAAGACCCACGGGTCTCTACCTAGTTTCTCCAGGGCAAGGACATAGGATTTGAATCACCTGCCTATCCCTGTTCTGTTCCCTGTCATTGCAATGACATACACTCTATCCTCATCCCCTTCCCTTTTTATTCACAAAAATTTGTTTGAAAATAAACATATACTCAGATACACACACAAACACACCATTCTAAACATTAGTCCTTTGCTTGTATTTGCATTCCTTCTACTAGAACAATCCTAATTTTCCTTGAGATAATACGGCTATTTCCCACTGTCTAGAGCAGGGATCAGCAAACTTCTCCTGTAAAGGGCCAGACAGCAAACATATTAGGTTCGAGGATCATAGGGTCTCTGTTGCAAGTACTCAGCTCTGCCATTCAGGTGTATAAGCAGCCATAGACAATACATAAATAAGTGAAGGTGGCTGTGTTCCAATAAAACTTTCTTTATGGACATTGAAATTTGAATTTCCTCGGGGCCGGCCCCACAGTGTAGCGGTTAAGTGTGCGCGCTCTGCTGCTGGCGGCCCGGGTTGGGATCCCGGGCGCGCACCGATGGACCGCTTGTCAGGCCATGCTGTGGCGGCATCCCACATAAAGCGGAGGAAGATGGGCATGGATGTTAGCTCAAGGCTGATCTTCCTCACACACACAAAAAAAGTTTTTAAAATAAAAAAAGAAATTTGAATTTCCTGTAATTTTCATATGTAACAAGGTATTATTCTTCTTTCGGTTTTCTTTACCCATTTAAAAATGTAAAAACCATTATTAGCTATACACTGTCCCCCCAAAACGGCAACAGGCCAGATTTGACCCATGGACAGTAGTTTGCACACCTTAGTCTAGAGGAGGAACACGCAGAAAGGCAAAAAAAATACACATACGCACAAAAGTGTTCCTGGATATCTCATGATTATTTATAGTGGAATACGACACTGCTTTTAAATTTTAAAGGAGGAGAAGTTGCTTGTTACTGCATTCTTCATGTTTTCGTGGAGGGGAAGGACTTCTGCTCCATTCTCCAAGATAGAACCCTATTGGAAGAATACTTCTGGTCTCTTTCTCTTCTCACAGAACCTCATGACTCAGTCGGTGAAACAAGGCGAAGCGGCTGTCAAAGCACAGCCAGGCTCCTGGCTCTCGCTCTCCCGTGGGACTTGCAGGCCCACACAGAGCACGCTCTTTCTGCACTCCTGTTCCCGTGTCAGACCCCGATGCTCCTTCTAGAGCAGCAGAGTATGCACATCCCACGCAGTGCACAAGCCAATCCACTGAGGTGCAAGAATAAAATATTAGACTATGAGAACAGGTATTTATTTTTATTTTTATTTCATCCTCTTATGTATTTATTTTAACAAATTTTTAAAGAAAAGTAATATAAAAGTAAATTTATATAATTTGTAAGCGAAGGAACACTTCAAGATGAGTGCTCAAAAATCATTTATTCACAGGGATTTGCAAGTAAAAAGTTTGGATATAACTATTTTAGAGACGGTCCTGAAGATGTGTTGCTCTCTCCCAGTGGATAGGCTGTGTGCCAGGCTGTGATCCTCTATGCCTCTAGCTGGGTAGGAAACTGTTCTAGAGCCCTAATTTTCCCCACAGATCAGACCCAAAGTCTAAATCTGGCTGCAGGGTGGCTGAGGGAGAAGATGCATAGGAAGCCTCACTTGGGCCTCAGGCCCAAGCATCTTGTTCCAGTAGAGTACCAGGCTGAAGCAGGTGGTGAACCTCGATCTTCATCTGCCTCTAGGCATTTACCCTCCGCTCAGAATCCGGGGAGGAGCCCTGTGATTAACTGGCTCCCTGGAACTACCCAGAGGTTAGCTCTCTGCAAGTTGATATGAAAAGATACTTTGCTAAGTGAAAGTAACAATGTACTATTTTTTTCTTTGTGTATTTTGTATTGTTGCCTATAAATACACATGCAAGGGATCTATTTAATGGACTGAACTCAGTGGCGTACAAACATGTCTCAGCTTTCTCTCCAGCCACAGCCTTCACACATGCTGTACTGAATGCCCTTTTTACCACAGCCCTGCCATGATGTCTCAAGCAGATCCCATAGATTTCTGGTCACTTTCAGATGGAAAAACAGTCTCACATTGGCAATTAAAACTAAATTCATTTCTATGTATTAAAACAATTCAGTCCGGCCTAAAACAGAATAGAAAACATTTCCCGTTCGCAATTTCCCCTAGCAGCCTTGCACTTCCAGCTCAGGCCAGTTCTGTGGCTTGGAAACTTGCAACAATGAAAGGAGACGTGGACAGCTCGTTCATTTTCCATTGACCTCCTTCACCTCCTGCAACTGGCTTTTCCAGAGTGCCCACGGGGTGTTTGGGGGTGAGTTTATATGTGTGACATTAGCCTGTTGTAACTGAGCTCTTGGTACCTCTGTGTAGAGGTGTCTGAATTTGGCTCTCTCCTGGGGACATTTGTGGATTTCAAAGGCCCAGTAGCAATATCGACACTGTACAATTTCCTGACTTGGGGGATGGGAGAGGAAGTGGGCAGGAAAGGGTATGCTTCTGAGACCCCACATCCTCTGAAGTACATTCTATAGTCTCTTATTGCCAGTACTAAGTATTCCCTTGGACAAGGTTCCTCCATGTTCGACTCTTTTCCACAGCATCCACTTGACTTTGCTACATCAAGCTATGAGCATGCAGACCACCCCACTGCTGCCTTCTCTCCTTGCTCTAACATTGAAGGCTGTTCCAGCTATGATAGGCAGGAAGCTAGAAATGTGCTGGAAGCAAGGTTACTCCACCAAGTGCAGCATCCTAATCTCCAGGCAGCAGCATTTCTGACATGGAGCACTCCCCCCGACCTTGACCAAGAGTAGCCCCAAGCCTCATTATACCCTCATTTGCATTGCACTTTTTACCCCCCTACCCCCGAGGGGTATCACCGCCATGACAGTTCCAGAGATGCCTGTGTAAGGAAAAAATCTCCCCCTCTCGACATGGGAGTGGAGACAATGCCCTGATTGGCGCACTTTCCAAGACCCTCACCCACCCCCAGGACCCAACTTTCCAAAGCCACTGACCACCACAACTTTCCTGCACTTGCTCCCCCTCAAGCCTGCCCTCCCCTCCCCTTGCGGGTGTATTTTCGCTGTGCTAATAAATCCTTCTCTGTTAAAACTTCTGCTGTGTGTCCGCTCTCAAATTCTTTTGTGTCTGTGGACCAAGAACCTGGGACCCCACCACAGCAATCTGACTGGTGCTGGTAATACAGCCAGCCTCCCCACTTGATAATTACGTAAGCAGAAAGAAGGCAACAGACTCTATGCCACATATCAAGCTCTTCCAAGAGCTCTCTCACCACACTGCTCTGGTAGCTGCACTGCGATTGCACTGGGTATAAGTTTCTGCAACTCCCCAAGCCTTTGTCCCCAAGAAAGATGCTGGATTCCCAATCACTCTTTCCTTGGCACCCAGCCTCCACATACACACATACACAAACATACACATACTTAGGAAACCATAGCATCTGTCCCCTAGGCTTTAACTTTCCTAGAATTTTAGACTTCTATATAGACTGAAGGTAGATGTTAGGGGGAGGGCCAAAGTATCTGTTCAGCCAATTTTTAAGTAATCCTTTGGGTATGTGTACTGTCTAAGCTTAGAGTTTTTGTGAAAATATTGACACATCAGAAGTCCCATTCGACATTCTGTTACACATACTCACGCACTTATTATGGTAGAAACATTCTAAAAACACACAAAGAAGAAGTCACGGTTCTCTCCAGAGAAAGACTCAGGAATCTGGAGTAGGAAGGAAGCATTCTGTATTTAAAGCATACCCTCTAAAGTACTTGAAAAAAAATTTTAACATGTGCATATATTACTTTTTCAATGTTAAGAAAACTGGCTTTTAAAACAATTGAAAGCTTTTCTCCTCACTCTCCCATCTCCAAGATTGTCTCTGAAACACTTTATTGGGGAGTGGTCCCTACACTGGTGTAACAAAAAGTGTGGGTAGCATTACTCACACAAAGCAAAGCAATGGCCTTGTTTTTAAAGTAACTTCTCAGACAAGTTGATTTCAAGCAAGGGCTAAAGTTTTATTTCAAACTTCCCCACAAGGGAGTGAGGCTTCCATGAAAGACAATTGAAAAAATTTCTCTTGGGGAAAAAATGGCATGTAGGTAAAATTATTAGATTAGATACAAGAAAAAATATGTCTGGTTAAAGGTCGTTAGGCTCATTACCGTGAGACTAATGGTCGATGGAGAGGGTTAAAGTCTAACTTTCCAAAAGGTGCTGTTAACTAGATCAAACAACAAAATTCTTTTCCAGTTAGTCTGTTGGCGTTGTTTGCCTGTATTATCAGTGCAATACCATACGATCGCACCTCTTCTCAGGTTTGAGGTCATTTTTTTTCTGTTTCTAACAGCTGGATTCCCAGGGTGTTTTTCCAGTACTGAAATATAATTGACATACATCGCTGTGTAAGTTTAAGGCGTACAGCATAACAACTTGACTTACGTACATTGTGAAATGATTACCACGATAAGTTTAGCTAACAGGCATCATCTTGTATGGATACCAAACAAAAAAAGAAAAGAAACGATTTTTTCCTTGTGATGAGAACTCTTAGGATCTACTCTCTTAACAACTTCCAAATATACCATACAGCAGTATTAACTACAGCCCTCACGTTGTACATTACAACCCCAATACTTATTTATCTTATAATTGGGAGTTTGTACCTTTTGACCTGGATTCCCAGTCTTACTTGTCAATCAAGTTGGCTGTTTCTCCTTAAATTCTTTCCCGTTCCCCTCATCTCCATACTGTCAACATTCTCCTCCAGACCCTACCTCAGCCCCACTCCTTTCTCTGAACAAATAAACAAACAGTGAGCCTTTACTATGCCCCAGGCACCACGCCAGGAAGTGGGGATAAAATGCTGAAAGTCCTCCACACCCCCTACATGAATCTGAAGAACACCACCTTCAACCTGAGAGGAAGCTATATCCCTCTTCCTGGCCCAGTCCAACACTTACACATGTGCTCCATCTACCTATCACCCAAATCTGAAACCCTTTAATTCAAGTATTCACTTTTCTCATTTGTTTACTTATGGATCAGAGGTGGCTACTTGGAAGGCATCAAGAGTCCTCTCCCCACAGCATCCAGTTGGTTCTGTTGAGGCTGCTAGCCCAATATCTCTTCTATCTGTTCCCCCTGATGAACGCCCCTCTTCAATCCCACTTTTCAGAATTCATCTTCTCTCACTTCATCTATTACCGTTCTTTACCAGTGGACCTCCCTGGCCCTTCCTCACTGAAGCTCCAAAGCTTATCAGGACAAACCCCAATAAAATCTTTTAACGACTCAGTTGTCCAAACTGTAACTAAACTCTTCAAGATCTGGTCCCTGCCTACCTCCCCTGCATCTCCTCTCCCAACTACCCTCCACCTAAACTTTTGAAAATTTCCCCTTGTTGCATAGTGTTTCACGCCTTTAGCTCTTTTCCTATTCTCTCACTTCTAATTTATTCAAACAACGTTCTTACTGAGACATTGCCAGACATTGTGGTATGTACTGGGGACATCATGGGGAGCAAAATCGGACGTGGTCCCTGCCCTCATGAAGCATACAGTCTGCTGGAGGAGGCAGACATGGATCAAATAAGACATAAATAAATGTAAAATTATACTGTAATTAGAACTGTGATGGAGGATGAAGAAGAGGGAGGAGGAAGGGGAGGCGCAGAGACAGGAAGAGGAAGACAAGGGAAAAGAAGAAGAAAAAGAAAAAAAACTAAAGAGATCAGGGAAGCATCCCCAAGGAAATCACAATTGACCTGAAGAATGAGCAGAAGTTAATCAAGTGAAAGGAGAGGGAAGATCTTTTAGGTAGAAAGAACAGCACGTGCAAAGGCCCTGAGAAAGCTGGGGAGAACATTGCATAAGCTCTGAAAGAAAGTTAGTACATCTTAAGCATTGAGAAGGAAGAAGAAACCTCTTCTGATCTTGCCCTCTAGGCAAATACTATCTCATTTTTCAAGACTGCCTCCTCTGGAAAACTTTTTCTCATCCCCACCAACCCTTACTCGCCAGTTAGCAGGAATGATCACTTGTTCCTTCGATCCCTGCAGTACCAAGTAAGCATGTCATCGAAAGACCTTTATCCTGGGTGTGTGCTTTCATGTCTGTTTCTTCCCACGGGTCCATGAGCTGTCTGACGGAAATGCTGGTGTCCTAGTCATCTCTGTGTTTCATGGTCCCTGGCACAACACTTGGCAAAGAGTAGACTTCTAAAAGTGTTTGTCACCTGAATGAATGGCCGGCTGGCTTGCTGGATGAATGAAGGAATAAAATTAATTATAAATGCCTCCATTCCTTTGGGATTAAGACTAAACTTTTTAGTGAAATCCTCCTGATCTGGCCTGTGCCTGTCTCTCCAGCCCCAACTCCCAGCACTCTCCACCTCCTGACTCCATCTGAGGCTCCACTCCTACTGTCTTCTGTCTCAGTTCAGAAACCTGCCCAGCCCCTCCCTGCCAGACACTGAGCAGTTCCCACTGCATGGGGGCGGGGGAGGCAGGCATTACTCTTACTACATCTAGGCACTATTTCAGGCCTCAGTGTAGACAAATCACTTCCTCAAGAACCTGCATTAAGGCCCTCAGGTGACACTCTTCTCTGCTCCCACAACTTCCCATACGTCTCCCATGGAAGCTTTTATCGGACTGATTAGAATTGCTCAGTTACTAGTATAACAATACAGTCGTGCACCATACAACAACGTTTCGGTCAACAACAGACCACATATAGGATGGTGGTCCCATAAGATTAGTATCATATAGCCTAGCCTAATGACCCGTTTCCCAGAACATATCCCTGTCATTAAGTGGTACATGACCATATAGAGAAATTTCTAAATTATACTTTTCTTAGATGCAGAATTTCTCCCTCTTCCTTCAGAAGAGAATTGTTTGTACTGAATGAATCCTTTGATGGGAGTTTAGGGTGGGGAGAGCGAGGTCTTTGAAGGCTGCATCAATAACAATAGATGACTATAGGGCTTATCTAGGGAGGCTGAACTCAGTGAGAATTTTGTTTTGATAAATCATTGTCTCTCTCTGTGCGTGTGTGTGCGCGCGCGCGCGCGTCCTGAATGAATGAATGTATGATTGCCTGGCAATAAAAGGAGCTAAGTTACTCTCTGTTAAATAAATGCTTCCACTTCTTCCACAGGGAGGAAAACAGGCTTTTTCAGTTTCTCACATTCTTTCCTTTGGCCTTCACCTCACTGCAGCCAGAGTTCCTCTCACCTGACAATGGACAGGTGAATGGGGCACAGGAAGCCTGGAAAGCTGAGAGCCAGCTCTCCTTAAACCAACAACAGTCAACACAGTGGGAAGAGGCAACTTAGAGAGGTGGCATGAGGTACTAAAGGCTTCCCCTGCACTACACTGGCTCTAAGTACTCTTTTTCTTGCTGAGTCTTCACAACAACCTTGTACTATTATTATCTCCATGTCACACAGGAAGAAATTGAAGTTCAGAAAGTAATGTGCTTTGTCCAGGGTCACACAACTAGTGAGGGGCAGAGCCAGGATTCTAACTCAGGGGCCTGACTCTAAAGTCCACCCCTTAGCCATTGCCCCTACCATTGAAGGTTCTGTGTACACTGTTGGAATTGCCTGTCAGAAGATACCATTTCTTCAGGGTCTGTGCCCTTATATTCGTAGATTCCTAGCTCTCTGTTACTCCCTAAAAAATCCACAAGAGGGGGACCTTTTCCCATCAGCTCTAGGCTGCTGACTGGAATTATGGATTTAATTTTCAGTTTCATAGGCAACTCAAGTGTTGGCTGGTTACTGGTACAGAATTTGAACAGGTTTCCTGACACGAGGGACATAGGTATCCTAAGTGGGTACCTGTCCTAATTAGCCCCAATTAACTCAGAAGTTCTGGGTCCCAAACAGGCAGCTCATATTACCCCTCTGCCAATCACTCTCCAAGCCTGAAACTCAATTCGCTATGGTGGCCAGAGCTGTGTGAGCCTTAGATCTTTAAACGCTGGGCTCCCCTCCCCTTACCCAAATTCTACCCATTGTCCAGTAGCCTGGAAGCCTCCCAAATAGGTTTCAGAGGTTCCAAAACCCAGAGAAAATAAAGAATAATGTTGTCTTTACCACTATCACTATCAGCCCTGCAAAGCCCTGATCATAACGACCCTTAAGCCACAGGATTTCCGGGTATACCTGTGCCCATTCCTAAGACGGACACTAGGAATGAGAGTGTGAGGGACACTGTGATGCATCACCAAGGTTCCCCTTCAGGAATGAAGAACTTGTTCCCCCAGATGCTAGGGGTGATGCTGGAACATGACCCTCAACAATGAGACCCTACAGGAGCTTCCACCCAGGACAGTGACTTTGCCAAAAGCCATACCCCCTTTAGGCGGCAGCCCTCATCCTATGACTGATCTATTTAGGAGGGATAAAGGGCCCAGTCCCCTTGCCTCAACTTGGAACAATTCTGAAGGGTCGTCTCAGCTTCAGAACTCACTGAAGGGTCAGCTGTGGCCTCTGTAGAGACTATATCGAAGCTCATCCTCTCCCTCTGCCTGTTACTGAACCAGGTTTATTTTGCCCGTCACACAACATGCCAATTACTGAGATGAATTTGCAGCAGAGAAAGGGTTTATTCACAAGGCAGCCAAGCAAGGAGATGGGAGCGCAAATCTCAAATCTGCCTCCCTGAAAAATGGGGATTAGGGATATTTATGGATAAATGGGCAGGGTGGTTTGAAGTGAGGGACTAGATGATTGAAGGTAAGGAGAAGTGAGGTAATTGATGATCTGCACAAGTGTAACCAAGCTTCGTGGCTCTTCATAGGACACACATTTACAAAATGATGGCATTAGCATGATCTGAGGGTGGAGTTTTCAGCTCCCTGACATCAAAAGGGTCACCTATTGGTCATTGGTGCCGCCCCAGTTGATCAGTCAGTGGTCTTAACCAGGCCTGAACTGAACAAGGAGTTGATTCTCAGCTCCTGGAAAATTTAAGCACCCGTTACATGGTGACCCAAGCATCAGAGATGTTATCTATGGAGTGGGCTTTAGTAATGCATTATCTAACCACTTCTGCAAACAGATAACTAACTGACTATAGTCAAAGCAAGTTGGCCCCTGGTTTTATGCTCAATCCTTCTTTCTGCCTTTCCTCCACAGTTGGTGATCCTGAGAGCTCTCCCTAATAAATCTCCTGCAAGTTCATCTTCATCTTAGAGTCTGCTCTTAGGTAACCCAATCTGCAACAGTTGGTGTCAGGAGTGCTCTGAGAAGGCAGATGCTGGGATGGGATTTTGGAGCTGGATCACTCACCACCCAGCTGACAATGAGGACCCCATCACTGGTTAGATGGAGCTTCAAGAGATCCTGGTGAACTGGGATGGTATACTGTTGGAAAGAAATGCATTAACTGGTTCAGTGCATCAGCCTTTTGAGAATCCTTTTTGAGAGAAATAGTAACTATATGTATAGGGGAATTGATGATGATAGCTAAGCTCGACAGATACTCTGGAAAAAAATAATGAAAAGTTGAAAATATCAGCACTTAAAAGCATTGAAAAAGTGATGGCCTGCACCAAGTGAGGCAGAAATGCCATGATTGACAAGAAGGATTAAAAGGCTCAGAAAGTGGGCATTGAGAATGGATGTACTATACAAGGCTGGAAAATCCACTAAATAACTGTGTTCCATGGGACAGCCTGGAGGACACACAACTCACCAAAGCAATAAGCAATGTATGCTGAGAGGGGCACCAGCATCACTAAGGAGCTCCGTGATTGCTCTCCCAAACAGGCCAAGGCTGATGGTAGGAAATGCCTCTACTGAGATGGGCTCACTGACAGCAATGGAAATGATAGGACTTTCCCCCAAAAATAGAGGCTAGGTAGCAGCATATAACCATCAGAAGCCCACTAATCTAGGCCCAATAGCATAGACTTCACTTACCAAGGCTGACATAGCTTTTGCCACTGTCAAATGTCTAACCTACAAGCAGCAAAAACAAAAGCTGAATCCCCAGTACAGCATCAAACCATGAGGGAACCAACCAGCCTGTTGGTGGCAAGTTGACTATATTGGACTCCGTCCACTCCAGAAGGTGAAGTCATTTATTTTGGTTGGAATAAATACATACTCAGGTATGAGTTTGCCTTTCCTGCCCACTGGGCTTCAACTATCACCACCATCCAAAGACTTACAATGTTTGAACAACAGGCATGGGATCCAACACATCAGACCAAGGACCCACTCTTTAGCAAAGGAGGTGTAAAGTGGATACATGACTATGGGACCCACTGGTCACACTACATATCATACCACCCAGAAACTGCCAGCCTGACACAGTGATGGAACAGGCTAGTGAAGATACAGCCAAAGCATACCTAGAAGTGATACTTAGAAAGGACAGGGTGCTACCTTCCAGCACGCAGTGTCCACTGTAAAACAACAACATTTATGTGGTGCTATGTGCCCACATAAATTTGGACATGAGTCCAAAAACAAGGGGGGAAGCAGGAATGGCTTGCTTACCATCACTCTCGTGATCCACTTGGGGAATTTGTGCTTCCTGCCCCTACAACTCTAGGCTCTACAGGTTTAGAGATCCTGGTTACCGAGGGAAAAATGTGTCCAAAAGGGGAAAGAGTATGGCTGCTGCCCAGCAACTTTGGGTCCCTTGTGTGAAGGGACCACCAGGCAAGAAGAGGCATCACCATCTTGGCCATAGAGTGAATGCTGATTACAAGAAGAGGAGGTAGGGCAGCTGTTACACAAAGGAGACACAGGAGTAGTTTGGCATCCAGCTGGTCCACCTAGGAGCCTCTTGGTAATCCCCTGCTCTATTTTGATGGTAAAAACGACAAGTGCAGCAGCTATGACTTGAGGAGGACATGGATACCAGAGGCTCAGACCCCTCAGGGGTGAAAGTCTGGGTCACACCATCAGATAAGCCACTAAAATCAGCAGAGGTGCCAGCGAAGGATGAAGGAAATCTAGAATCTGTAGTAGAAGAGGGAATAATGGGTATTAGTTGCTGTTCTGAGGTCAGCTGCAATGAGCTGTAATTCTTCCCACCATCTTTCCTTTTCTAAGTTTCCGCCATGAAGACAGATTCACCAGAATGCTGGAAGAGCTTCTCCCAGAACTTATATGAAGAAGTGGATCCAAGTGGCACAAGACGTGGACAGTGGTGGGTGCCGTGGGGGGACCGCCTGGATCTTCCTTCAGGAATGAAGGACTTATTCCTCTGGCTGCTAGGAGAGCTCTCAACAGGAAGCCCTCAGCTATCAGCCCCTACAGGGATTTTGCCAAATGAAGCAAGCCCCTCACCCCGCTTCTGGACAACTTTGAAGGGTCATCTCAGCTTCAGAACTCCCACAGGGTCCACTGAGACAGTGTCACAGCTCAACTTGTCCCTCTGCTACCTTCCCTTTCCTTCCATAGCTGTAGATTCCAAGAGCACTTCCTAATAAATCTCTTGCATGTTAATCTCTGTCTCAGAACCTGATTCCTGGAGAACAGCATCATCCATGCCAGGAGAAGAGGGGCTTTTGATCACCTATCCAGAAGGAAAAGGATGTGTGATATGCAGCAAGTAATCGTTCCATCAAAAACAGCAATATATATATGAAAACATTGTGAAAAAGAGGACTGGGCAAATGAGAAAGGAGGGAGTGATCAAGAAAGATGTTATTAAAGAGATGGGATATGAGCTAAGGATAAGACCTTATGGGATAAGGTCTTGGAGAACAGACAGAATTTGGGCCCTGAGGGTCATCAGTGTCCTCCTACAAAATGAAGGACAGAGACTCAGAGCAGTAACAGTTAAGGAGAAATGGGGCAACTTGAAATCCCATTTCTTAATAACCATCTAAAGACGTCCACCCTGCTGGGACAAGCCCCTTGACTCTCCCCTCTAGTCCCCCCATTCTCTTGTTAATTAATCTAATGTTTTTATTAGCATCTGTAAGACCCATGAAAGGAAGCCAAGACAACAAATTCAATAAGGCTTCCTGGACTATTGATTGATTTTGCAGCAGAAAAGTTACATGGGGGGCCCACGCAGAAGGGGCCCACAGCAACCACAGCATTAACCATGACCTGAGTAATGTGCATAGTCAGTGGGTGAATATCCAGTTCATCATAAAGCCAGTCCCACATGACTTATATACAAAGCAGATCAGCTGCTTCATCTGAGGTGTTCAACTTGGCATTATGGGAGTTGCTGTATAGTCCCCCGTCTCAAGGTAAACAGTCCTTACAGTGGCTTTTATTCAATCCAGCAGGCTGGCAGTTTCCTCAGGAATAACATGCTGTATGTCTGGATTATGTATAACCATCTGTGATTGTTCCATAGTGAGCTGTGGGTCCTGTATCAACCCAAACATGCTCTTCTATTCTATAGCATTTAAAACCAAAGATACTGCCCCTAAATTAGTTGCTTTCACAATCCATTTCAATAAAAGTTCTTCATACTAATCTACTGATGTATAAATGAAAAGCAGTATGATATATTGGAGTATATGAGGAAGCCATTGGTTTAAAACTAATTCTGCCTGATCTTGTTTTTCCAGAAAGGTTTGACATGGCCTGTTGAGCATGCATGGTACATCTGCTTTAAACATTTGCAACGTCCCAAAGCTGAGGATGATGCCCTTAAAGATAGGGATGTTGCCTCCCTCATATCAGCATTTCTTTAAGGATAAGCATTTCTTTCCAGAAACTAAGGATTAATTACTGACCTGCTTTAACTCATCTCGTCACCACTGACCTGCTGACCACTGACTTCCTGTGCTCACCTTGTGACCACTGACCTGCTGTGCTAGCAAAGCATCTTGTGACTGTAGTAAAAGAGATATTCCTGTCATATGTGATGTATGTTCCTTGTTCCAAGATGGTATATAACCACACTGTACACTTCTTCAGAGAGCTTAAGGAAGGAAGCTCCCAGGCTATAGTCCTCAGACCTGGCTCATGTAATAAACGCACCTCAATTTTGATTTGTAGATTGATTATAGATTATCTGTGTTGACACTACAAAATAAAACAACTCCTTCACATTATATCCCCTGGTTTCAGTAGTTTCTTGGTTTCGTCCTCTACCTATGTGGACTACCTTCTTGGTGATCAAAGTCTTAGAGGCACTCTGTATTGTCCCCGCATAATTTTTCCCTTCAGGGGTGGATTTGAGGCTAGTGGCCAAAGCTCAGACTGACTAAAATCTGAGGTTGGTCCAGCATCAAGGTCCGACCCAGCACTCTCTCTTGCTTTCATTTTAGCTATGACAGGTAACAATAACCAAGAGACTGTATATTTTGCTTTTTTATTAGTTTCCATTTCCTTAAGCATCCAGTGAACCAACTCCCTAGGAGCTGGATCCATCTCTAAATTCCATTGGTAAATTTTACCTTTAGTAATTGACTACAGCACAGGTGCCGTTCCATACTGTGGAGACTATGTGGCCACCCAGGAATCAAAGTTTCCTCGTCCTCCGCCCTGTCATCCTTTCTCTTCCCAAACCACATGTTTCCATGAGCTAGGGCCAGTCTAGCAAATCCTACTTCTGGCCCCAATTCTGGGGCGCTTTTTCTGACTCCAAGCAATTCTCAAATTTTCTCACACCAACTGGTTGTACAACAATTCAGTTAAATTCTGACACTGTCTACCTGGAGTTAGCATTCAGATCCCACAAATTAAAGGGCCCAGCTCCACAAGACTACCTCCACTTCAGATGCCAGTCTCAAGTCCCAGGTTGCCCTCTGTACTTCTGACCAACCAGCTATAAATTCTAGGGTTTCATGACCCTCTCCTCAGGTTTGATAACTTACTCAAACAGCTCACAGAACTCAAGAAAACACCTTACTTACATTTACTGACTTATTACAAAGGTTACAACTCAGGAATAGCCAAATGGAAGAGATGCATAGGGCAAGTCATGGAAGAGGGGATGTCATGGAGCTTCCATGCACACTCCAGGTGTGCCACCCTTCTGGCTGTTCACCAACTGGAAGCTCTCAAAGAGTTTTTAGAGAGCTCAATCTCCAGCCCTCCTTCGCTCCCTGGAGGTCAGGTGGTGGGGCTGAAATTTCTCACCCTCCAATCACTTTTTCTTTCTAGTGACCAGTCCCATTCTGAGGCTACCTAGGGACCCCACTCTAAGTCACCTCATTAGCATAAATTCAACTGTGATTGAAAGGGGCTGGTGTAAATATCAAAAGACACTCCTATCACTCAGGAAATTCAAAGCATTTTAGGAGCTCTGTACCAGGAACTGGAGACAAACACCAAACATATTTCTTACTATACTACAATTACTCTATTTGAGATGATGCCCACAGAACTGAGGAAAAGAGTTACTTAAAAGAAATTCTCAAAGGAAAGAACTGGGAGGACTTGGTAGCTCTGTGGATCTTGGAGATGGACTCTAGGAGTTAAACAGCTTAGCTTTTAATGGCTGTTCTGCCACTTAACTACAGCTTCAGTTTTCCACCTGTAGAATGGAAGCAATAATAGTATTATACTTAATTCTGAGGGTTAGAATTTATAAAGTGTCTGGATTAGTGCCAGGAACATGTGTAGAGCTCAATAAATGTTAGCTTTTACCATCATGGATGCACGGAGGTGGGACACTCAAGTTCTAGTTCACGTTCCTAGCCCTCCTGGCTGTATGACCTTTACCCCTTCTTAGTCGCTTCTCCGTCCCTGAGCCTGTTTCCTCATTCATAAAATGAAGGTAGAGGTGTCCCCACACTAGCCCAGGGTCCCTTCCATCCGGAGAAGTCTAAATCAAGCGTGACTCAAAGATTCTCAGTCAGGGTGACTCAGGGCGCTGGTGCCAGTGGCAGAGCGTGGGAGATCGAGGGGAGGCGCCCTCTCAGCAGAGAGAACACTCTCACACCCAGTGTGAGACTCCCTGCCCGGCCTGCCTTCCCGAGTTGAACGCCGAGAGGGCCTGGCCGTTAGCTATTCCAGGAATTCGAATGCAGGGTTGGAGAGAGGAGGCGCCTAGGAGCCTCGGATGGGATTTTCACCAGCCGGCCGCACTTGATCGGCTGTCAGCAGGAGCGCGGCCTCCCGCGCGGGTGACAGCAGGGAGCTCCCCTCCGCGCGGCGCCCGACGGTCTCGGTCCAGGCGGGGGCGGGGCGGATCTTGGACGCGCCCAGTCCGCTCCGCCTCCGCTGTGTTGAGGAGGCTCCCCGCTGCCGCGGCGGACAGTTGCTGGGGAACAGAGGAAGAGGAAGGGGTGGAGCTGCTTGTGGTGGCCGCAAAGCAGTCAGCCGACTGCGGCGGGGGCTAGTCAGCTGTCCCTGGCGCCGCCCGGGGCCCGAGGGCCAGCCAAGGCCTAGGCCGGCGGGGGCCGGACTGGCAAATCAACCCTGTCTAGGAAGCCGGGCAATGCCCCGCCACGGAGTGTCTCCCGGCAAGGGCTACTCCAGGTCCGGCCGGGAGCAGGGGCCGGACAGGTCCCGAGGGGCCCCCAGCCTGGGCCTCTTGTGGATGGGCCTAGTTCTTGCGCTGGTACTGTCCGACTCACTGGTGCTCTGGGCCGGGGCCCACCCTCTTCCTGGCCAAGGCCATCCCGCCGTGTTCAGTCGCATAGTGCCTCAGCTCTGGGACGCTTTTAGGGGGTGGAACCTCACCTGCCCGGTCTGCAAAGGCCTGTTCACCGCCATCGACTTCGGGCTGAAGGTGAGTGCTAAAGCAGCTGGGTGCAGCGCCCAGGGTGGGGGCTGGGGCCAGTGCAGGCGCTCTGGGGTCCCGAAGAGCATCCCTGATGGAGAGGCTGGCATCTACAAGCCTTGTCCCAAATTTGCTCTCCTTTGGAGACATCCGTGGCTGTATGCCACCACTACCTCCATTGTGACCTTGTAAAGTAAGGAAAGTGCAAATTATATGCTGGGCACTGTGCTAATCATTTTATACAGATTGCATCAAGCCTGCAAGGTGGTTTCGTTACAGTTGTTATCTCCATTTTGCTAATAAGTAGAGTCCTGGAGAGGTGAAGTCACTTGCCAGAAGACACACAGCTGGCAAAGGGCGGGGCTGGTACTTCCCTCTTGGTGTGCCAGACTGAATCCCCTCTGCCTTACACTTAGCATCTCCAGCCCAGAGCACCATGCCTGGTACTAGCTACTCAGAAGGGGCTTGGATTAAGAAATATCCAGGGGTGTGGGACTGAATGGGGCTGCCTTGACCCTAATGGGGTTATGATGAGGGCTAGTTAGTAGGTGAGCTTTGCAGGGCTCCCCAAGGAAACAGCCCTGCCCCTGTGTGTGTCCCCAAACCCTGGACAGTCTGTCATTCTGCCCAGCCCAAATTTCAGGGCACTCTGCAGAAGTACCTGAGAAAGCCAGCCGGACAAGTAAAGGCCTGAAATGCCCCTGACCACTGAGCTGAAGAGGAAGTACTGGCCTAGTGCTGCCTGAGTCAGAAAGCCATATCTATGGGAGGCAGAGGGTGCATTGAGGTCTCTTCACCATGGTGCCACTGAGTCCAGCCCAGCCCCGTTTGAATATAGAGGCCCAAAGGGTGGTAGCCAGGGCTGGCCTGGTCCCTGTGCTCTGTCTCTGACCTGTCACCACTGGTTCTTCCCACCACAGAAGGAGCCCAGTGTGGCCTGGGTGGGCTCTCTGGCCATCAAGCTGTGCAAGCTGCTGAAGATAGCACCACCCGCTGTGTGCCAGTCAGCTGTCCGGCTCTTTGAGGATGACATGGTGGAGGTGTGGACACGCTCAGTGTTGAGCCCATCTGAGGCCTGTGGTCTGCTCCTGGGCTCCACCTGTGGGCACTGGGACATCTTCTCATCTTGGAACATCTCTTTGCCGGCTGTGCCGAAGCCATCCCCCCAGCCACCCAACCCCCCAGCCCCAGGCGCCCCTGTCAGCCGCATCCTCTTCCTCACTGACTTGCACTGGGATCATGACTACCTGGAGGGCACAGACCCGGACTGTGAGAACCCACTGTGTTGCCGCCAGGATTCTGGCCTGCCACCTGCCTCCCGCCCGGGCGCTGGATACTGGGGCGAGTACAGCAAGTGTGACCTACCCCTGCGGACCCTGGAGAGCCTGCTGAGCGGGCTGGGCCCCGCCGGACCCTTTGATATGGTGTACTGGACAGGAGATATCCCTGCCCACAATGTCTGGCACCAGTCTCGTCAGGACCAGCTGCGGGCCCTGACCACTATCACAGCCCTTGTGAAGAAGTACTTGGGGCCATTGCCTGTGTACCCTGCCGTGGGCAACCACGAGAGCACACCCGTCAATGGCTTCCCTCCCCCCTTCATAGAGGGCAACCACTCTTCACGCTGGCTCTATGAGGCGATGGCCAAGGCATGGGAGCCCTGGCTGCCTGCTGAAGCCCTTCACACCCTCAGGTACTTGAAGGTCCATGGAAACCCAGGAAGGGAAAAGAAAGGTGGATGAAAGTGAAGGAAGCAGGGGCCCTAGGCATTATCTGTGACTGCCCTAGCATAAGTCCTCAGCTCTCCTCACTGGCACTCCATAACCTGACCCCACCTTCCACTTCCACCCTTGTCTCCAGCCACCCTCCCTCTCAGGGCTCACAGCATACCCTCTCCATGCGAGTCTGTGTCTTTGCTACATCAGCCCTCTCTAAATGCCTTCCCCTCCTCTTTAACATTCCAACTTATCCAGGCCCAGGACATCTTCCCTCTGAATGGCCTTTGCTTCCTATTCTAGCTGACTTTTGTCTCTCCCCTGAACTCCTAGAGCCCTTAGCCCTCTGAGCCACTCTCCTCAGTCACGCAGGCCCTATAATCACTATTGTTTGGTCTTCAGCTAGCATGTGAGCCCCCTGAGGGTAGGGGTGATGTCCTGTATGCCTCTGCCCCCCACCAGATGCCTAGCACAGAATGGGGCATGCAGGATCAGGATCATGAACGAGTGTTGACCCCTCATGTTCACTTTGTTTCAGAATTGGGGGGTTCTATGCCCTTTCCCCACGCCCCGGCCTCCGCCTCATCTCTCTCAATATGAATTTTTGTTCCCGTGAGAACTTCTGGCTCTTGATCAACTCCACAGATCCTGCTGGACAGCTCCAGTGGCTGGTGGGGGAGCTTCAGGCCGCTGAGGATCGAGGAGACAAAGTGAGGGAGAGTGGTGGGAACGCGGTGGAGTAGGTCCTGATGGGGGTTTGTGGGGAGAAGCAGGCCCTCATAAGCAGACCCCTGTCTGGAGCTGGAGCACCTAGGAGCAGACAAGCTTGGTTTTCTGGTGCCAGCCGGTGTAGGAGAGATGAGTACCAACTATCCTAGCCAGGGCTGCCTGGCCTCCTCCTGCCCTGATGAGATCAACTCTCTCCGCAGGTGCATATAATCGGCCACATTCCCCCAGGGCACTGCCTGAAGAGCTGGAGCTGGAATTATTACCGAATTGTAGCCAGGTAGGAGGGAGGTGGGGATGGAGTGATGAAGAGGCTAAAGGTTGGAAATTCTCTTGAGCATCTCACCATCCTTGCTGCCCCATTGGAGTGGAGAGGCTACTTACTTGAACAGTATGGAGAAAGCAAGCATCCTCTCTCTCTGGATCGCCTTCCCCTCCCTAGAGCCTTCTGAATATAATTAGTGTCTTCTGGCCAGGTATGAGAACACCTTGGCTGGTCAGTTCTTTGGCCACACCCACGTGGATGAATTTGAGATCTTCTATGATGAAGAGACCCTGAGCCGGCCGCTATCTGTCGCCTTCCTGGCACCCAGTGCCACCACCTACATCAGCCTTAATCCTGGTGAGTGAGGGGGAAGGGAGTTGTTCGGATAGAGGAAGTTGGTGGGATAGCGGAAGTGGGGGTCAGGAGCAGGTGGGGCATGTGGCCTCTCCCTGGAGTCGCTCCTTCCCTCTCCAGTCAGCCCTCCCTCCTTGCAGGTTACCGCGTCTACCAAATAGATGGCAACTACTCTGGGAGCTCTCACGTGGTCCTGGACCATGAGACCTACATCCTGAACCTGACGCAGGCGAATGAGCCCGGAGCCACGCCGCGCTGGCAGCTTCTCTATAAAGCCCGAGAAACCTATGGGCTGCCCAATGCGCTGCCTGCCGCCTGGCACGACCTAGTATACCGCATGCGGGGCGACACGCGGCTATTCC